ACATCCTTTACTATGACCGGTTCGGCAGTGGGTCAGCAATGGTGTTGGCCCTGGGTTCCTGGTTCCTTCTAATGCAGGACAATACTAGACCTCATGTGGTTGGAGTGTGTTAGCAGTTTCTGCAAGATGAAGGCATTGAAGCTATGGACTGGCCCGTCTGTTTACCAGACCTAAGTCACATTGAGCACATCTGGGAAATCATGTCTTGATCCATCCAAACAAGTCACATTACACAGCAGACTGTCAAGAAGTTGGTGGAGGCTTTCCACGTCTGGGAGGAGAAGACCAAGCATTGTAGGGAGGTTATAAAGGCATTTGGAGGCCACATACAATACTAAACTTCCTTTTTACCTGTTTAAATGACATTACATCAACATTGGATCAGTCTCTGGTGTGTGTGTGACTTTGTATACTTTAATTTTGCACACAAACTGCATATGATTCAAAATTTCATTTTGTACAGCTTTCAGACAGTAAATGAGCAGCAGCTTATCAGTGAAAGGAACATTTCCAATCCATAAACTGCATTAGTGTTCAAATGTAAACAGTGTGGGAGAAAAACATGGTGCAAAAAAGCATTAATATGGAAGTTCATAACATTTCAAGACAAATATATATGGTGCAGGAAAGCAGTTCTTTGGTTTGATGTTATCAATGTGATGCAGAATCTGTGACTCGATTTAGAGTTTTTTCAACAGTTCAGCTGTCTGATGGCAGTGGGCAAAAAGCTGTTGCAAAATCTGTTGGACCTGCATCGGATGCTGCGAAGCCTCTTCCCAGAGTGCTGCAGGGAGAACAGACCATGGTGGGGGGGTGAGGGGTCACTGATGATGTTACGGGCTTGGAACACGCAGCACTGGGATGAGTTATCTTTAATTGGGGTAAGAGGAGCCCTGATGATCTTCTCTGCTGTTTTCACCACTCTTCTCACCTTCTTCCAGTCTGAGGCGCTGAAGCCTCCACAGCACATAGTGAGACAGCTGGTCAGAACGCTCTCTATGGTGCTTCTGTAGAAGTTGGTGTGGATGGGTGGAGGCAGGTGGGCTCTCCTCATCCTCAACAGGACGTACATGTGCTTTTGTGTCCTTTTGACCAGTGAGGCGGTGTTTACATTCCAGGTGAGGGTGTCTGTGATGTGGACCCCCAACAATTTGGTGCTGCTGACCACCTCTACAGCTGAGCTTTTGATGAGCAGCGGAGCGTGGTTAGGACGGTTCTTCCCGGAGGCGACGAGGATATCCTTCGTATTCTCCACATTCAGGAACAGGTTGTTATCTCTGCACCAGTCCACCAGCTGCTCCACCTCCTCTCTATAGTCCTGGATGTTGTCGTCTCTGATGAGGCTCACCACTGTGGTGTTGTCTGCTATCTTAACGATGTGACTAGTGGTGAACCTCACAGTCGTGTGTCATCACAGTAAACGGCAGGGGTCTCAGGACGCAGCCCTGAGGGGTGCCTGTGCTTAGGGTGATGACATCAGAGGTGTTCTGTGTGACCCGGACTGACTGAGGTGTGTTTGTGAGGAAGTCTAGAAGCCAATTGGAGAGGGGTGTATTGAATCCTAGCTGTTCCAGTTTTCCTATCGGATGCTGTGGGATGATGGTGTTGAAAGCTGAGGTGAAGTCCAGGAACAGCATCTGCACATGGGTGTTCTTCTCCTTCAGGTGTGCCAGGCTCTGGTCAGCAGAGGAGAGGCAGAGGAGATGGCGTCCTCAGCAGTGTCATCATTTCGTCATGACAGGAGTCATGATGCAATAGGTCGGTAGTCATTAGCACCAGTATTTGTAGTTGGGAGTGAGATTGTAGTTCAGCTGACTTGGCTTTTTGATACTTGTCCTCTGTTTGCTGAAATGTGTCCTTTGTCTCCTGGGACATGTCCTATGTCTGCTCTGTTCCTAGTTTAGGATTCTTCAGCTCCATCATTCACATCCTCATCAATGTTCTTGGAATGGACCATAGGATGTCCAACTGGACCAACTGATGCAGAACTGTCCATGCCCCCTTTTTTGGTTCTTAAGTGTTCAGAACCCGACAGTGAGGCCTCTGCAGCTGGGTGTGGTTTTGTTGAGGACTTACAGATGTATTGAGTTTAAATTATTAAACCATTTGGTCTCTGGAATCTAAAACTTTGGACCTGAATCTGAGAAACAGATTTAAAATTGACACCAGAACTTCTCCACTGAAGGACAGTAAAGGTCATTTTGTTTCTGACTTCCAACATTGATGCTTCTCTGTAATGTTTGTTTTTAAAGATCCATGATCAGCTTATTCTTGTAGTTCTGGCATTGTGACATTTACCCAGAAAATTTTAACTTTAAAGCTATTTGCTATCGTCTTTAATCTTCCTGCTTTGTGTTCTGACAGTGAAGCTCTCAGCAGACTTACATCAGAGCAGAACCAGAGGATCTGCTCTGTGCTTTTGAAGTTTATTTTGTAATGTCTCTTACACAACCTTCAGATGAAAATGTCACAACCTGCGATTCTCCTGGGGGAAGCGACACCGACGGACTCAGCTTAGCATTTTTAATGCTCTGTTTGGATGTCACTGCAGAGTTGGAGTTCAGAATATCCAGATGAGCTGCATTCAGAGATTATCTGCTCTAAAAGCTGCTGCTAAATATCAGAGGACTATGAGGCCCTCAATCAGAAATGAGTTCTAGGGATTTACAGAAAATGTTGATACCGTTTTCTAATCAAACAATGTAAAAGGAAGGAGCATTAGAAATACATAACTGGACAACCTCAGCTTTGCTTTTGTCCTATGGTGCCCTTTGTCCACTGCTTGGGTTCCAGAACACTCCAGGATCTCTTCTTCTTCCTCTGCTGGTTTCCCTCTAACTCGCACATAACACATAAAACTTTGCAAAGTGCTGCAGGTGAAGAAGACGGCGCTCATGTTTACAGCTTTAGGAGAAAATGCATGCTGGGATATGCAGACCAATTTGAATTAGATTATCAGTTAAAAAGTTCATTTTAGAAACTTAGTTCACTTAGTGTGACACATTATTTCCATTAATTGTATTTTTTTTTAACTTATAGAAGAAAAAATTAAGATGGAAACGCTACATTGGACCAGTATGAGCAATGTGATACTGAAAAAGTCATAGCTTGTAATTATACTGATACAATCCTTGTGTTGTCTTTGAATAAATGTTTAATAATTTTATGGAGAAAGGAAAATTGAATAGAGACCCTTTACATTGCCAGATTTTGTCTCGTGAGGATACGCACATAATCTGTATATGCATGTTGTGTGGATGTAGCATTAGTAAGATCAGCAGTTAGCCATAGTTGGTTTAGAGTGTTCTCTCACGCAACAGGCAAAAAGTTATTCAAGCACCACAACTTACCTACTGGCTGCAAGTTAGTCCCTGATTGGTGGATTCAACCGTTTTGATGGAATAGAGGTTTTGGTATCAAGGCGGGCTTTTCATTGTGAAGCAACTTAGAGAGGACCAAAATCGAGAGCGCACTATTTTGGTCTTTTCTGTCCCAATGGGGTGGAAGATTTTGAGGACTCAAATGCAGAGATCAAGAGGCAGAAGTGAGTCATGAAGATTTAAAAGTTAACTGATGAAGAAACCAGCACAGAGTGACTGCAGAAGTGGAGTATATAAGGGGAACAGAACAAAGGATGGACTAATAAGTAGCAGGTGTGAGTGGAGCTAACTAGAAGGAAGCCAAAGGGAAAGGAAACTAGCACTGAGAGCAACTAAAGACTGCTTGAATATAATGGAAAATAAACCAAAGATCAACAAAACATAATAATTAAACTGAAAACTGAAAACTCAGAGTCCCAAAAGGGGAGAACCATGACATTTTCTGGTTCGAACAAAGAGCACCAATAGAAAAAAGAAATGTTTTTAGGTGTTATTTTTAACAAAGATGACCAAAATGGAAAGAACGACGACACTATTATTGAGTTATCCTTTTGATCGCACAGCTTTATGCTGGTTTTAACATTTGCAAAGCATTTGGTTATTGCTGTATCCACAGGGTACTTATCTTTGAAGTTTACATTTATTCTTTTGAGGGTTGCCTTTCAAGGTAATGTCTTACCCATGATATTAAAGTTTTGCTTTTGATTGTACAGATGTATGCCTGGGTTTCTTTTTTTAAACTACCTCCACATCATTTGCAGGGCACTTTGAATAGTTAGTTATTTTAAAATTCTCAGAGTGCTCACCTCTCAAGTGGTCGAGTGTTGGCCTAGTGGTTAGAGCAGTCCGCTTGTGCTCTGAGAAGGTTGCAATAATCAGTTTGATCCCCACATCCTCCACTCTGGGTCCCTGGGCAAGACCTTAACGCCACACCGCTCCCTAAGCATCGCACAATGGCAGCCCTTTGCTCCGCAAGGGGATGGGTTATATGCAGAGGTAAATTTCTCCAGTGTGAGATCAATAAAGTTCAATTGTCATTATAAAATCTATTATTTTTGGTTGTTGCCTTTCAAAGTTGTTGTCGTCCTAACTTTGATATGTTAGTTTTGATTTTACAGCGTATTGTTTATTTTTTATTTTGCACCCATTATATTTGCAGGCCATTTTAAGTTGTTGGTTAAAGTAATATTGTAATTGTATCCATCAAATGTATATATATGCTTCTGGTTATTGTCTTTAAAAAAATGTGAACATTTAAAATAAAAAAATGAATAACTATGGAATAACTGTGGAGTTGCTTTTGGAAAGAGTGCAAGCTCAGCTGGAGGGGGGGGCAAAGGGGTACTATCGCCTTGGGTACCAATGAACTTAAAGCCGACCCTGGTTTTAATTGAAGCCCAACAGCAACACTTTAACATAAAAAGGTCAGATTTCAGAGTGATGACTCCTTTCATAAAAAGTATGATTAATACCTGCTAAAAGTATTCATTTTCTCATATACATAAATCTTGTACTCTAGTCCAGCCTGCAGCTGCAAAAGCTAAATGTCATGACTGACTGGTGCTAACAGAACCGCATCATCTGCAAAAAATACAGATAAGGATAATGAAAGTGAGTGACTCACGTTTGAGGGTGTCTTGTCAATCCTCGAATCCAGTCTGTGTGGGTTAATCCAGAGAACAATGAACACATTGGACAGTGGACAGGTAGACAAACGTTGGACCCGGAGGAGTAATGGAGCGGACTGTAACTCGGATTTCCAATGGGCACTTGAACGGATCATGTGGAGGTTTTCCCCTGCTCAGTGTGAACTCAGCTTTTCCTTCCAGGGGGGAGAACGACCAGGTATCCAGTTTAACAGGAAGTCTTCCTGCCGAAAAACAAAGACAAAAGAACATTAGTCTCAGGGAAACAAAGCTTAGATAGACTCTGCTAATCTCAGCTTGGCTAGAGTACGCAAAACTGACAAACACTGGCGTTGAGGTAGTGACAGTCCACTGCTCAAATACTCCTCGGTAATGATCCAACAAGCCGCAGGTGTGCAGAAGGGCCGACGAGAACAGGGCACCACCTGGTGGTGGAGGGAGAAAAAACACACAAACAACCACAAAAACAGACCACACAAACTGGATTCCTAACAGGTTCCACCTCACAGATGAAAGAGAAATGCATCTAGAGCAAAGATCCATGCATGTGAGCCAAAAGGAAGCACTTTTCCACGCGAAAGAAAAGTCTGACAACTGTATTTAAGAACTAAAAACACAATAATACTCAGGAGCTACAAGTGTTTTTAATTAGAGCAGCAAAACATCAAATTAAAATCTGTATTTTTTAATTCTAGACAAAACTTTCCAGCCCTAGAAGGAGTACAGTTTGCTCTTTCTGCATCAGAACATTGAGAATCAGACCCGCAACATTTCTCCCACCCCTAGAGGAGGTCCATTTAGGGAGTTGGATAAATTTATCTAATTGAAAGGGGGAGGTAACCCCTCTGCTTGGAAACATTGACAACCAACCTTCACTCCAGAATGTCCAGTCTTCAGCAGCTCTGGAAGAACCTTGTCCTGATGAGCTATGCCTGTTTGAACAAAGAGAGTCTGACTAATGCAATTAGTCTCAGGGAAACTAAAAACAGTTATTAGATTTCCCTCAGTCAGCAGATCTAAACCCAACATAATTGTAAAGAAATCCGATATATTGGAGCGTTGTCGGTTTAAAGTGAAGCAGCAGACTCTGTCGGAACTAGAATCAGAGCTTAGTTTAAAGCTGTCCCTCTGAATGCCAGCGTGGAAGGCACGTCTGACTCGCCGTCTCTTTGTTTGATGAATGTCCTCTGAGGAGGAGAAGCGAGCTGAGGCCCAGAGGTCAGGTTCATGTGTGAGCATTTCTCTCACCCATTACCTCCCCCTCCTCCCTCTCAGACAGCATTAGCTGAGGTCGGAGGTTGACTCTGTGCCTGTTGTTTGTATTTTAACCCTTCAGCAGAGGGCTGAGGCTGCGGCCTCTCCAGAGAGCCGCCCTCCAAGTCTGTTTGCCAAATGGACTATGAATATACGAGCAGTCCTCCACCTGAGTGCAGGGCTCTGCTGTGGGGCCCTGGCTGCTCCACCCGTGGAGAAATAGATGCCTCTAAAAAGAAGGAGATTTATGAACTTGTTCATTCACGGTCTGGCCTTCTTTCTCTGCTCCTGTTATGAGCTGCTTCCCTCCCAAAGCACGGAAACCATCCCTGCAGCTTGGCAGGAATACAAACACCTCAAACACACACATCTGTCTGGAAATGAGGCCAAGCAGGCTTTAAATCCCTGTTTGTCCTCCCCTCGGTCTGCTGTTTGATCGTCCTGAGCCTTGTTCTGGGGTTCTGGACCGCTGTCAGACCTGGTTCTAACATACACCCAGGGCTCAGACCGCATGTTCCTGCCTCGGGGTAAAACACCCACTGATCCGTTTTCAGTTCACATGAAAGTCTGGGTTGTGGCTTTTTCTCCTCAACAAGAACCAGTGCATTTCCAGTTCAACCAGAATGAAATGAACCGATTTACCTTTAACTGCTACATGTTCTGAATGAGTTCACAGGTCTGGAACATCTGCTTTCACCTTT